GTCCTTGGAATCGCAGCTTTCTTGGTTTTAGTTTACCGTGGATAGAGCCAAAGCGGAGAAAGTTGGAGCGAGAATTTCGCTCAGCCATTTAAACACGGGAGTTTACGAGGAGATCACACGCAGGACCGCAGAGCCGAAGCCATTTCACATATAGCTAAAATTATACGCAGCTATATGCTGGCTGGAAAGGCTATCCTATGGGTATCTGAGAAGTCACAATCACCGTGAAAAGATATCGACAAGTGGATTAAGGCGGAAGCTACGCTGCTATAATTTACAATCAGTGGGGTTCGCTCTGGTTAATCGTCAGATGCGTAAACGTGGTGTCGATAGGTGCTGGCATGGAATACGGCCACAGTCCGCTCATCGGCCATGGCGATTTAAGTGGCAGTCCCGGTGTTATACCGCAGCACTCCCGAAAAATATTTTCGGAGGTTATAGGAATACCGAGCTGGTGGAATGTTAAAACTCAATCAACCGAACCGCGTCCGTGACGTGACCCGTATGCCCGTGGTGTGGGCTTACTATTACCCACAAATATGAAACAAATAATCGAGCACCAGCAAGCATATCAAATAATTCTGTGAAGCCCGCCCGCGCAAATATAGGTAATCGCTGGATTGCCATCTTCCCTTCCTTGCCCAAAAAAAACCGCCAAGCCGAGCCCCCATATAATAGCATGTTAAGGGTGTGGCGGCGTTTTGGTATCTACTGCTGATTGAACTGTAACAAATAATATTTTTCATTCATGCTCGACGCTAAAAACTCAGAGATTGGCGTAGACGGCGAAAGTTCTTATGATACCAGATGTTAGCCAAGAAACCCTCCAGGCTATCAATGCTTATACGCCCAGGTATCGGATGAAGTCGGCGCGGTTTCTAATCTACATCGCTCGACATGAAAGCCTGATCTTCATTTACTTAAAATACACTTCATTCGCCACCGTTAGGCCGCAGTACCATTTTATTTGTTTACAACTGGCGTCATCATAATTCACGAACGGGAATGTTTGTATGCAACTACCCATTCAAGGCTTAACTAACCCCTGTGGCGGATTATCTCAACAACCTGAATAGTAAATATGTCAGTGCTGCCTTGTCCTGATATTCCTCCTTGAAGCTGCGAGGAAGGCCAAACAACGCTTATTTTTCAGATCATTAATATGCATGCGCGTACACGCTTTAAGGTTGCTTATCTTTTTGCGGGCCAACCTCAATAGTATTTTTCCTTCTACCTTCATGTTGTTCCCATAATAGTCCCACCAGCACCTCCTGATATTTCAGAAATGACAGCGCGACTTATTGATTTTTCTATTGTGAGATGCCGCGAATCAAGCTAATGTGTCTGTAATTCTTCCGCCAATAAAAATAGGTCATAAATATCTGCCTTGCTCTCTGTCGGCGACTGTAACCATTTTCCATTATGCCCTTCAAAAATTCGGTGGAGCATCGCATCGAATCAAGCCACCGTATGCCTTTCTTTTTCTTCAATGGCGTAAGGCGATATTGTGCGGTTCGATTTTGATCGCTACTCTTTTCTGCGGGAGCACTTCCTCTGCGCAGTTTTTTTTGATCTAGAAGCCCCAAAGGAAGGCGCGTCAGTATTCATGGCCATAGTGTGTGCATATAAAGTCCACGGGTAAATATGTCCTTCTATGCTTCCCCGTAAATCTAGCATAATAGACCCAGTCCTTCGTCTAATTGGATGCTCTGTAATTGTAATATAGATCGTATCTTTGAATCGCCAATATTGTGCAGTCTTTTTCGGATCTGTTTTTGTTATTGTTCGAATGATGACGAATATTATCGTCTATAATGTCGATATTGTCGTTTTGAAAGAAGCGATAAGCTGCTTTTGTTTCGCCCAGTTAAGCACATGCGCTTATTTATTGGACCCTCTGTTGAGGCGATTAAATTGTCTCGCAATTTTTATCAAGCGGCTGTACGGCTGGCCTTCTCTATCATAGAAGTTCGGATAGCGTCAAACTCTTTTGTGGCCCATTCACTTGTTTTCACACTGCCTCTCCTAGTATTATCCTGAGGTACTATATACTGCCAAATATAGATAATTACTATGCCTATAACATTGATCGACATTAAAAATCCAAAATCTCGCCGAAAGAACTGCATTCTCAAAGGCTCAATAGCCATGCAATATAAGCAATGCCTGCGAAAGTTAAATTGTGTCGATGCCATGGAGGACAGGAAAAACTGGGGGGCATGGTCCATAAACTTGGATGATGGACGAGAAAGAATAACGTAAAATGTAGGAAGACTGATAGACAGAAGACGCTTAAATAAGGATCAAGCTGCGGAAGTTAAGAAAGCCATCAAGGGAGACAATGAAGGATCTAAATCTCATTATGAAGAATGGAGGCTCATCTTTAAAGGGAAATTGAAAAATGGTCGATATAACGGATTTATTAGCTTGTTATATTTTGTGGGTACACTAAGTAAGGTGGTGTGGGGGGAGATGCGGTCGTTGAGGCGTCTCCCATATCCGGATTGATGTGAACACGCATCCAGCCAATAAGCTTGGTTATTCGAAGAATGGCGAGCAAGAGCCACAACAACCATTCTTGCTCTTTGTGGTAAACCATCATTGAGAAAGGGAATCTGTGAGATTATCGCTTTGGCACCTCGACTACTGGTCGTCACCATCCAGTGGAAGCCAGTTGGAGGAAAAGTCTTCTTTAAGGAGGGTAAGGGCACTTTCAAAAGTATCTATATAATCCTGGCGCCAAGCCTTGGCTCCTCATTGTCGTACCAAACCGCGCAGCTTTGCTCAAGCTCTTCTGCTGCTTCAGGCTAAGTCCGAATTTTCACGATCATATTCAGTCTGCAGTCGCGCTTTACTTGTAAAAAGCACTTCATCACATCAAGCAATTTTGCGGATACTAGACTCTATTCATTGATTCTTACGACATATTTCAACTGTCCAAAGCCTTTCTCACTTCAGAGTCACCCGGCCGCATCAATGCTAATAAGTAAGTCTTTTTGCTAGTTCGGCACGCCTCCTGCTCCTCAGGCAGGGAAAGGGCTTCGTGCTTTAAGGTAGAGCAGTTTGAGAAGGCATAATGACGTTTCCGAATCTGAGGTAGTAATTGTCACCAAACAGCAACAGCATAACAAGGCCTGCAGAGGCGTATTGATAAGCCAGTCAGTCTTTTTGTTCCAAAAAAGCCGCCATCTCACCAATCGCTGAGCCCGCCCGCACCTAGCGTTAGTAAACCAAATTCAAAAGTATGGTTACATAGCATACAGTGCTACTCTCTCCTATTGTCGAGCTGATACATGGGATGAGCCAAAAACCTCGAAAATCAGCCAAAAAACACGGGGTGCCGTTTATGAGGCCCAACATGCCTTTTTGATGAAAAGGCGGCTAATTAGCGGAAGAATCTCCATAGCCCAGAGGTATGAAACACGTTACTTTTGTTTTGGTCTAAATCAAGAGAAACGGGTTATTTCTCACCCACTCGGTTTACGTACCGGAATAACCGTATCCGAATAATCGCGCAGGTTATGGAGAAAGGCGAAGAAAAGTCTATTGAGCAAGGCAAATTCATACACTGATAACCAATCGGTAACATTAAAACTTGTTTGCTGATTTCCTGCCTCGCCTAAAAGAGCTCAAGATTGAAAAATGAAAATACAAAAGTCACTATTTCATGGAGTTCTGAGAGTGTAAGCTTTCTTTAAAAGAGGCTGTCTGAAGCAAATCATATGCCAATATCAAAAGATGATTCGGTCAATTACTGATGAATATTTTGCCCATCAAAAAAGTGCTAACAAGTAGCTCCAGCCGGATTTGGGTAATGCTGTCACCTTTTTTGCAAAAGGTAAAAAGCCGCCATCTCACGCACAATCCGGTGAGCAAAGCGTTAAGGCTAGTCTAGTGTTGGTCGTAAATGGCCACTATAGCGAAGATATAGATATACTATCATCAAATTTATAGATCACGCGTCTTTCTGGCTAATTACGGACCAAAAGGCTTGAAACTTGTGCTTCAGTGGTTCTGGTTTGCCAGTTCCTTGAGACGGATCGTCTCTCATCATTTCTTTCAGCTGTCGGCACAAAACCTTGTGTAGTTTCTTGTCCTTTTCTCTAAGTTTTTCATATTCTTGCCAAGTGCTTCCTTCAAAGACCAGTGATCTCACTCATCTCCTCCTTACTTGGCTTATATCCATCTTTCTGATTGTGTGACCCTAAAGAATCAGAAATTTGCTGCATTAAGCTATTGTTTTGCAAGACATAAAGGGTTTCTTGCTCACGTTCCCAGTCATCGGCACTAATAACAACAAAGTCTTCACCACTTCGTCTAGTTACTTTTAACGGAATATGGTTGCCAACTATCTGTTCTACAAAGCTTTTTTAGGTTGTCTCTAAATTTATTTACGCTTACACTTTCCATAACATCACCAAATTTAACGTACGGTATTTCCGTACATTATAGGGCGAGAGCCTTAACGCAAAGCGAATGCACCTGACCCTCCGTATTTGTCACTTTGTTGCGGGTGGATCTGCAAACAAATCGCCAAACCGTCTCCGGCAAGTGATGCGGCGTTTGCTAAGCACCCCAGCGGCTCGGCATCGGCGCAAGCGGGCTATTATCGCCTTAGATTAAACCTTTTACGAAGACTCCTGCATTAACTGTCGTCCGCTACGGGCCCGCTCATGACGACCTGCAACCAGTCGACAAAAATCCCTCCTGCCAATTCTCTACGACTTTCTCAGAATGCCCTAAATACGGCTCGACTATGTGGGTCCTGTAGGGCTCACCAGCTACTAAGCAGCGCAGTGATAGTGATACTTTTAATAATCCCTAAAGATCTTTAAAAGAAGAGGCCGATATTCTGAATATGGTACGAATTTAATTTGGACTTATATGGACTTAAATCTGCCGACATAAAAAAAAAGCACTTAGCGACAGTATCGGAAGTTGCTTTGATTTTACTGTTAAATATGTCGGAAGCGGCAGTACAAGGTGGCTTTTTTATTTGGTCGGGATAACAGGATTTGAACCTGTGACCACTACACCCCCAGTGTAGTGCGCTACCAGACTGCGCTATATCCCGAAGGTGGATAGGTTACATGAAAGCTTTTTAATACGAAATACGTCTTCTGGAATACTTATCATTTTTCTTGAAGTTTTTCATCTCACACAAAAAAGCCGGCTGTATAACCGGCTTTTTATTGCTTTAGTTCTCGTTATTTAAGAATAACAAGTAAACCTTCTAGCTCATCTCGCATCTGACGAATTATCTGCTGACTTTGCGAATTATCATCAGCCACGTCTTCACCTGTCAGTTTTAGTTTTGCACCACCAATGGTATAACCATGATCGT